GATGTTCGGAACCTTACCATAATACAGTTTATATTATTTCACTGATCCACGAATAGGCCTAAATATTCACTTTTAAAAACTCATTCTTTAAAGCTTCGAGTATTTCACCGATCGAGATTGATTCAAGGAATCTTGTATTTCTTTTATAAATATTGGATAATCGAAAAGTTATTTTAGTAATTTGTCAATCGATATCATTACCGATGCTGTATCAGTTCACATAGCACAACAATAGTTCGCTTGCTTCCATTCTGGAAATTTCGAAGTGAAAGATGCAACTGAAAAGTGCATCAAGTACGACCGTAAGACATCAAATACGAAAAAAATCATGGTCCAAGCGTGGTGAAGCACATGGTCGCAAAGCCAGGATTAACGCTGAGAGGAGAGTTTGTCTGGGAAGTTAAGATGCATCTACTACACAACTCTGACATTGCGCCATCGGAATACCATTTGTTTCGGTCAATGAAGAACTCCCTTAATGGAGTAAAGTTGGCTTCAATGAGGCCTGTGAAAATTACTTGTCGCAGTTTTTCGCCGAGAAACCAGTAAAGCTTTACACTGATGAACTAATGTCTCTAGCTAAAAAATATCAAAAGTGGTCGACCAAAATGGAACATATTTTGTTCATTAAAATTCTTTAGATTAAGAAAAAAATAAGTTGAAATTTGATTAGAAATACAATATATTTTTTTGATTACCTCTTCCAGAGCCAACGTGAGGAAATTTTTCAACCACTTTGGATCCTGAGAAAACAGCTTAGAGTGAGGTATGAAATCCATAGCTAGAACATTTCTTTAATCCTGGTCTTATCCTTCACTTCTTTGGCTTCCTTTGATTAGTCCTCTTTTTCTCATGCTTTAAATGTTGTTATAAGTTATAGCGCCGCAGTTGCAATAGCAAATTTTCTATATGTATATATTTTTTCCCGCATTTTTTTTAAAGGAATTATATTTTGTATATAACAGCTGGTGAAATTGTCTGTTCACAATTGTCATCTATAGTGAAAACGGGTTGCCAATCATCTGACACCAAAACTTAAGGACAGGTTTAGAACTGATATTATAATGAAAACGCATTTGACACCAGTGAAACAGCTGCTCATTGAGACAGTTTTTAAGTCAATTATTTTGCCATAATGAAAATGAAACACAGCAATATGTCCATATTTCGTTAAAAATATTTGATAAAACAAAAATAAGTTTTTAAAGATAATAATATTGTTCTCAGACTGAAATTCACACTGTGTGCTGTTTTCTTGTGGGTGTCTGAGGCGAAGATATTGTATGTAAGAACGCTTAGGAGATTTAGTTCTTTCCAAAACAAGAAAATATTTCACGTACTAGCTTAATGTATTTGGAAAAAGGTAGGAGGATGGAGTCATATGTAAGTGGGATCGCCATTCACTTGGGAGTGGCCAGAAACGATGCTTTTACATATGACTCAAGCAGCTCACGACTTCCGGTCCTTGACCAAGTTTCCTCCGGCTAGCCTGAGAACATCCGTTTGAAGGCGAGCTAAAGTGAAAACACGAAACATCCCTTCCACAAGTTTGTGCTCTGGGATTGGGACCCGCCACGCAAAAATTAATACCAATGAAAAGCTACCAACAGCCGCAGATGAGAGACCCCCCTTTTGATGACGACCATGGCAAATGAATTAAGGAATATGATTCGAGGGCATGCATCTGGAATGTTCGGTCCCTTAATTGGGAAGGTTCCGCTGCCCAGCTGGTTGATTTCCTAGTCAAAATAAAGGCTGACATCACCGCCGTCCACGAAATGCGATGGACGGGACAAGGACAGAGACGAGTAGGTCATTGTGGCATTTAATATAGTGGCCATATAAAGGAGCAAAAGTCTGGTGTCTGATTCGTGGTGGAAGAGAGACTTCGTCGCCGAGTACAGAAAGGTATCTTTGGCACTACGGGGTTGAGGCTGATCGACTTCCCCAGGGCCCGAAATATGGTTGTCTCTACTAAATTCCAGCATGAGAAAATTCATCAAGCTACTTGGCTGTCTCCGAATCGAAAAACCACCAACCAGATTGATCGTGTTGTGATAGACGGAAGACACGTCTSCAGTGTTTTAGATGTGCGTGCGCTCCGAGGTCCTAACATCGACTCGGATCACTACCTTGCTGCAGCCAAGATTCGCACGCGCCTCTGTACAGCAAAAAACGCACGCCATCTAACGCAAGGAAGGTTCGACGTCGAGAAGCTGCAATCACAACAGATAGCCGAACGTTTTTCTACTTGCACTCCTGCTCTCTGAGAGCACTCGTCAACAACCCGATATAATGGAACTGTGAGACGGCATTTTAAACTATTTACATAAAGCTGCAACCGAAATCATTGGTTTACGGAAAGTGCAAAAGAACAGCTGGTACGACGAGGAGTGCCGTGTCGCAGTGGAGAGAAAACAGGCTGCCTACCTCGCAACGTTACAATCGACCACAACACGTGCGGGATGGGATAGATATCGAGAATTGAAGAGGGAAGCGAAACGCATTTGCAGACATTAACAGAAAAAGAACAAAATGCGTCAGTACGAAGAGCTTGATAAGCTATCCGACAGGGGTCTTGCTCGAAAGTTCTCCGACAAAATGCGGCGGACCCCCAAAGGTGATCTAGTCACCGATGCCCAGAGTATACTTAAATTAAGGAGGGAACACTTCTCCAGCCTGCTGAATGGCAGTGAACTCACAACGCCAGGAGAAGGCGAACCCGATTCCCCAACGGATGACGATGGAACAGACGTACCATTACCCGACTATGAAGTAGTTCGAATAGCAGTTAGCCGCCTGAAGAACAACAAAGCGGCGGGGGCCGATAGATTGCCGGTCGAGCTATTCAAACACTTCGGCGAAGAACTGACAAGTAGCATGCATCAGCTTCTTTGTTAAATATGGTTTGACGAAATCACGATTGGAATTTAAGTGTGCTATGCCCAACCCATAAAAAAGGAGACCCCACAATCTGCGCGAACTACCGTGGAATAAGACTCCTTAAGACATTTACCATGCGCCAAATCTTGGAAAAAACCCGTGAAAGGAGAATCGACACACACGACCACTTCGTCGATTTCAAAGCTGCTTTCGTCAGCACGAAAAGGAGCTGCCTTTATGCCGCAATGTCTGAATTGGTATCCCCGCAAAACTAATACAGCTGTT